TTAATGGAGACCCTTAATGATCTAACCACTCATGTCGTTATCAGGGTCAAAAAGGAGATTTGACTGCTGCGGTCGAGAGTTAGGTATGGTAATGTTGATCACCAATATCTGCATAAGTTTGCATTCAAGTTCTTTCACTAATATAATAACATCGCGGTTAATTAATGATGGCACAACTTGATTAGTTTTCGCCTCAGATCAACACCGTGCAGCTCTTGTGTAAATTGATGGTAAGACGCTGAAATGGGCCGACGTGGTCATCGATCAAGCTAGGTTACAACCATTTCCGAAGCGGACAAAGTGTACGACCGCACCCGCGACGTCCGACGCCCTCATCATTGTCGATATCATATACGTCGTCTTAAGATGCTGATCGATGTCGGACTGGTGCTATAATCGGGAGGTATTGATCGGTTTAATACATTTCTTCATTCTGTTGGAAAAGCGTTTCGACATCGTACGATCCCGTCGACGAAGCATCGACATGTCATGTCACCGTCGAAGAAATTGGTGTTGACCTGTGGAGATTGAGAGAAAGGGTGAAAGTTGCGTAATGCTTTGACTATTGATAAATTTATAGATATTTTCTTCTAGAATAGCTTTCTCTAGAAAGTCTGTATACAACCACACGGTTCTCGTCTACAGATGGAGCAATATACACGTATCTCCCAGAGCCATCTACACAGAGTTTGGCCAACCCGGTTCGAGTTGGACACAGTGGCCCGAATTCACAAAACAAGGTTTGAGCTCAGACCAAGGTTTGAGCTTAAACCTCCTTTTGTTTCGCCAAACCTCCTTTTGTTCTTTACAAACCAGGTTTGTAAAAAAACGCGTAAAACGCGTCATATGACGTACGAAAACCAAGGTTTGTCGACAAACCTCCTTTGTGAATTCGGGCCAATATCCCGGCCCCCCCACTCAGGTTTCAAAATGACCGCATGCGTGTTGCCAAAATGTCCTTTTCGTAACAAAAGAAAAAGGTCGAGCCGTATTGACTTTACACACCGGACTTTTGCTGAAAAGGGGGGGGGGGGGTGCGGAAAAAGGCTCGTATACAAAAGAAAAAGGTCGAGCCGTATTGACTTTACACACCGGACTTTTGCTGAAAAGGGGGGGGGGGGTCGGTTGGAACACGCATATGCGTACCCTAAATAACACTGAGTGGGGGGGCCGGGGCCAATATGGCGACTACTGCTTTGTTAGGTCAAGCACAAAACAAAATAATATACGCCATGTTGTGACCCAATGAAACAAAGTTGGCCAAACTCTGTGTATAGATGGCTCTGGTATCTCCGATCGAGAAACCTGAATTACAGGATTAATTCAGGTTGCACATTGAAGTCTACCACATTATTTTGGGCAGTGCACTTTGACTCCATTAAAAAAAAACACGAAAATGACAACATAATTGAATGTGTAAAGGCAATGGCGTACTTCGGGGATACACCCAACTCAACCCCCCCCCCCCCCCCAATAAAAGAGTGGTAACCACAAAAGAATGGGAGAGGAAAATGAGAGAAAAGACAATGATATGGGGAAAAGAAGTGTTACGACACCCTCCCCTCATTCTGTGACCTCAATACTATTACTTTCTCCTATTGTATCTGTCTCATAAGACCGCTGACCCCTCCCCCTCTCCCCCTTCCCCTCTCCCCCTCCTTACCCCCCCCCCCCCCAATGACTGGACCTCCGTTTTGTGTCGCTGATCTGACCTGGTCTCACTTTCTAGATCGAACTTACAGGCCACCGTACTTTCGTCTGCAAAGATTATTATTACACAATGATTTCGATCTGTTTCCCGTTTCTTTCGGAAATGTTTGTTTATCGCTTTCGACGTCCTTTTTGTAAACTTTTGGCTGATTGGAATGGCAGGTCTTTAATCGCTTTTAGTTTTATCCAGGGTAAAGCGCTAGGTACACAACTATTTAATAGAATGCTGATAATTATGTTACATTCAGTGGTGAAGGAGAGAGGGTACGTGCTCGCCCCCCTCGAACAACAGAAAACATGAATACATAAATAAATAATAACAGTTATACAATTATTAATGATCAGTGATCCTAACTAAGTACCTATTGTTCAGGGGATGAATGAATAGATCACCCCAAGATCACCTCCCCCCCCCCCCCCGACCAAATATGTATCAATTACAGATCTACGCCATACTTAATAATGATATTAATGATAATAATAATTATAATCATAGTACAATTTAAAAGGAAAAGAGAATGAGAGATAAGCAGAGAAAAAAGAAAGGGAACTTAATTTCATTTCCTTTTTTTTTCTTCATTAATTATTCCTTTCCCCCCCCCCCCCCAAAAAAAGAAAAGAAAGAAAGGCCGACAGGCCGACAATTTCCAGGGTCCATGTACAGCTCAGGTAACCTTGTCAAAATATCCTTGTGTTTATACCCACATCGCCAATGATAATTTGTTTATGGAAGTGCCATTTATATATCAATGTAGATGTAATTAATTTTCCATATGGTTAGCGTGACCTTTATAGATGTAACCTGTTTTTTAAAATTTCGTTCAACTCAAGGCTTTTGTCAAACAGATCATTACGCCGATGAAAGACCTTTGAGAGCAGTACCAATGTTGCAGTGATATTGAATATGATGTAATCGTCATAAGATTCGAAAGATGTTTATTGCAAATCCGCTGATTAACGTTATGTTTTTGACAGGATCGAGTTACAAAAGACCAGTATATGAATTCAAATGATATGTAAAGCATAATTATCACGACCATGCAGGGACTACATTTTCTAGTCGTTTTTTTTTTTTTTTTTTTTTTTTTAATCTGACGAATAAAATGTTTGGGAGGTTTACGTAAAACCATACGATGTTAACCATACTTTTCATTGGTGGATCGTTTCAGGAAAAAATTAAAAGCCCCTCCCCATTATTTGAAGAAAAAAATATTGTAACATTGCGCTGCCCATAATGGCGGATCAAGGGGGCACAAAGAGCTATTCATGGGTGGGTGTCTTTCGCGGTTTTCAGAAACTTGATGCCCCTCCCCTTTTTTTGACAATCCTGGGCCCGCCTTTAAAAAACTTAAATTGAAGAAGGTGTGTCCTTACCCGAACTACTTCGTTGTTATGGTTACAGCTCGTCTCATTGGTTGTGCACATGTCCCTCGCTGTGCACACGTCCGTGTAGCCATCCAATCGCACCTGGCCACGGGGACACGCCCACCCGCTCACACACATTCGGATACAAGGCCACGAGCCAGAAGGAGGTTCGTTGATGACGTCTTCACACGTGTGTGATTGGCAGGCTGACATGCAGTGCTGGAAGGTAAGGTCGTTGTTGATTGGACACTGCTGTTGTGGGCGGGTTCTACCTGTGAGTCAAAGGGACGGGGTAAGGGTTTAACAGGTAAATGATTGACAGACCAATAAGCAGAGACGGACGGCGAAGTCGTTGTTGATTGGACACTGCTTTAGAGGGGGGGGGGGGGGGGGGGGTTCTACCTGTCAGTAAATGGGGCGTGTCGAGAGGTAAAACAGTAACTTACATGCTGGGCAAAAGTACAGTTGTATTTTGCATCTCAAGTCCTCTTTTCAAAGGCGTAGTCAGCGTAAATAATTTTGTCTATTTTTGTAGAATTTCATTCTTGAAATCTTGTTCACTTTCGGGTTTTAGAAATTGATTCTAAATCTGGTAAATATTGGAAATACTCTTGCTGGTCACCCCCCCCCCCCCTAAACCGAAAAAGGTTCAACGAACTACAAATATTATTACAATTAAATATTTTTTAAAAGACGAAATCGAATGATGACTATTGATATTTGGTACACTCAAAAACTAAACTCATTTGAAATCACCATTTGGGGAAGAAGAGTGACAACTTTTTTTTCTTTCAAAATGATATATATTGATGAATACTTTGATCATGCTGGGTCCAACACTATAGAGGTCGGATCTAGCATTCTAAAAATGTCAATCTAACATTTAAACAAAGTTGTCATTCCTCGGCCCTTTTAATTGTGATTTAACATTTTTATTTTTAGGGTTACCATCGTATTATAAGATATTCATATTTAGATGCATTGCAATATTTTCTCAGTTCGAAGTTTGTTTCTCCGTGTAAATTGAATTAGACATTTAGACATTTTATTTTGTGAGAGATGTGTGCAGCCCCTCCCCCCCCCCCCCCCCCCAGTCCCCAAACACGCACACACATACACACCCGGTCATCGATTGAGGAAACTTGATCATAAGACTTGAAAATGCATTCAGCAGCATTGGCGTTTTGTTACACAAACGGGATATTATTTTAAAACATGGAAACTACAATGATATTTAATAACATGAATAAAAATGCGTATCTGCCATCATCAACCTCTGATCGGGCCTCTGATTAATTCTTTGTGGAAAATGAATGAAAGTGAAGACTTACCAACTAAAGGCATTCTGTAGCATTCGGCAACTGACATGAGACTGACAAGGAATAGTAAACTGGAGCAGAGACTCGCGTACAAATCCATTGCTGCAAACTAGTGTAAGTGTTCAATAAATTTTAACAAAGGAATCCTGATATAATACAATTTAACAATTACAATAACAAAATATGTAGATCTCTTGCTGAAAACAGCGATGTTCCCGACATGAATGGAGCTCTTATTTATATATTTTTTTTAATTGGCGAGGAGCAGACAAAGCGTTCTAGACTAAGAAGTCGATGGAGTTAGTAGTTGATTTTTCTAAAAATTATTTATCGTTATGACGAAGCAAAGTATCTTTGTCAAAAAGGTACAAACGATGCCACTTCAAACAAATACAGAGCGCTAGCTGACTCTCGTCTTGATGCTATGGATTCCAAAGATATAATGCGTAAAGCAGTTTAGAAACTTCAAGTTGTTCTGTCGTCTGCGGCTGGTTTTTGTTGGTTGCAGAAAGTACGTGACTATGAGAGAGTTGTCTGAAGGGAAATGAGCTTTTCAGGAGGAGTGCAAAACCAGAATACCACAAAAGCACAACGTGCGCGTAGGCGGAGCATTAAGTTCAAACGTCTGTGTTTTAATTTACAAGTGGGGTCCTTTATAATAATTATAGAATAGGTGTGTAAAGCAGGGGCGTTGTTAGAGGGGGGGGGGGGGTAACAGCCATCCTCATTCAACATTTTCTGTCAGATTTTTTTCTTCAAAGTTCTAGAAATTTGTCAGCTAATTGCAAAAATTCGATGTCCTTGTCTTCTTCTTCTTCTTCTTCTTCTTCTTCTTCTTCTTCTTCTCCTTCTTCTTCATCATCATCATCATCATCTACTTCTTCTTCTTCTTCTTCTTCTCCTTCTTCTTCTTCATCATCATCATCATCTACTTCTTCTTCTTCTTCTTCTTCTTCTCTCTTCTTCCTTGTATCATCATCATCATCATCGTTATATTTCTCCTCCTACTCTTTCATTTGTCTTTTCTTTCTCGTCGAAAAAATATGGAACATCTGTTAAAACCAAATGTAAAAAATCTGACGACTGATTTAAAACTTGTCAATAAAATTTAAAATCTGAGCCCGCCTCGTTTTAGTCTCCTCTCTTTGTTGTTGTTTTTGGCTTACTTTTCGGGAAAATTTGGTTAAACAGGTTAAACTACCCCCCCCCCCCACTCCCCTCTCCCCCACAGTCCATTTCAAATGGTCTGTTGACGCCCCTGTTCAAAAGTTGGTGGTGAGTCCTGGTGTGATTTAGAAAGTGGGTAACGTGGTGATTAGTTAGGTTTAGTAGGGTATATGTATTAATCAGTAGTTGAAGCGGTAACCACGAGGAAATCGAGGAAATCGAAAGAGGATGACCGGACATTCAAGGATTGATAAACAAAATAGTTTTGAGGTTGCCACAACTCATACCAATATCACGCACGTTGCCCTGTCAATCATAATTCTAGCTGTCTATTTCTCAACTCTCGCATGCACTCTCTTTCTCTCTCTTTTTTTTTTCTCTCTCTCTCTCTCTCCCTCTACCTCTCTCTTTCCCTCTCTCTCTATCTCTCTCTCTCTCGCTCTCTATTTTACTATCTCTCTGTTTCTGTGTCAGCTCTCTCTCTATTGTACTTTTTCTCTCTGTCTCTATCTGTTGCTGTGTGTGTCTCTTCCTCTCTCTCTCTCTATGTCCTGTCAATCTACAATTTTTCCTTGATTTTCTTGATTTTTTTCATTTTATCCCCACCCCCCCCCCTCCTCTCTCTCTCTCTCTCTCTCTCTCTCTCTCTCTTAGTATTCTGTAATTATTTTGTTAATGACTCGATTCCCTCCGTATCCGAAGTGTTTTTGTGATGAAATTACAACTTTTTCCTTTCTGTATCTAGTGTAGATATTTATCCCTTAACCCCCACCCTCTCTCTCTCTCTCTCTCTCTGCCTCTCTCTGCCTCTTTGTCTCTCTTTCTTTCCCTCTCTCTCTCTCTCTCTCTCTCTCTCACTCACTCATCACTGACCGTCCCTCTCCCACACAAGTGCTTGACACCCCACTCCATCCGTCCAACCGGGAAGTACTCTTCTCTATTTCCTCATATCCTAGTGATGAATTTTAACCTGTTTTCTACGAAAAGATGCGCATGGAAAATACTCAAAACATTATCTCAAGTTATAGCCGGACGGCGGATTAGATAACGAGGAAAATGCTGTATGATGTCCAGCTTCCGATGGTCAAGCCTTCTAATTTCCCCATTCCGATAGACTTTCTACATAATCATGGCAGTCCAGTTCTCGTAATCAGGGGCGTCGCTAGACCTTTTTTTAGTGGGGGGGGGGGTGTATAGAGGCCATCGATTACCGACAAAACTAGCCACCAATTACCGACAAATATATTAATGCCAATGTCCCAATGTCTACAAATTAAACCCTATAAATCCGTGGCCAGGAGCTAAATTATTTTTCAGTTCGCCCCCCCCCCCCATCCCGCGCGAAGCCCGGAAGCTTTCACTCTTTATTAAATTATTAGAGAAAGAAGACGATTCGTTGAACTGTTCCCGACTCTTAATCCTTGTCTGGATTTAGTTCCCCCTTCACGTTTTATTTAATTATTAGAGAAATAAATCGATTCATTGTACCGTTCTCTATTCTTAATCCTTGTCTGAATTCAGTCTCCCCCCCCCCCCCCCGAAATATTGGTCGGCCCTTTTTTCAATTTTCGGGGGAGCAAAGTGAAGAAAACAAATTTAGTGCTCACTAACCCGGCCCGAATTCAACTTCTATTGTCGTTGTTTCATTGAGTCTCTCATCGTCTCCGAATTGCATCACACATTTTAACGTGTCCTTTTATGGATAATTATGATGGAAGGCGAGATTCAGAAGCTTTGATTGCATAATAGTATCGACATCATATAAATCGCCTTCGAAATGTTTCGTCATTTATTAGTTATGAGTCACTCTCTAATGAAAATGTAGAACTTGATTCTTAACAAAGTATCAGCTCCCTGAGTGGACAATATATCTTTTCTATTTTGATAAAAGAGCGTTTTCGAGATATGCCAATATTTTTTAAAATATAAAAATAATGATTTATACCCAACGAAAACTTCATCTAAACTCGTGAAAAACATGGAACAAACTATTGTACTCATCATAAGCGAATGTAAATTCAGATCCTTGAATATAGTCTTGTAATTGAGAATGTAGTTCATGCTATCGAAAGAATTTCGGGTTCGTTTGCATTTTTTTTTAATAGCCATTATGCGATGATTGGAGCCCAAACACCAAAATGCACCTGTTGGTAATTTGCCAATATAAAGCTTGAAGTACTTAAAAGTACCCGGATATTTCTAGTCTGTGGTAAAGTTCGATCTTTTTAAAGTCAATGACCTTGTTTTTTAGATTTTCCAATAAAGTTCTTAATTTCAGCTGTGCGTCCTGATTATACCTCGTGGTTGGTGAGCAATTGAAAGAGTGAAAGGGAGGTAAGTAAAGAGAGAGAGAGAGAGAGAGAGAGAGAGAGAGAGAGAGAGAGAGAGAGAGAGGAGAGAGAGAGGAGAGAGAGAGAGAGAGAGTGTGGGGGGGAGGGATGGAGAGGGGCGGCTTTGATTGTTTGATATCTTAAATATCTAGCAACAAATTTTAGTGGACCATACCAAAACTACAATTAGCCTTTTAAAGATAAAGTTGACTTCTGGCCAAGCGTTTTGCATTTGCAATGTGAACGAAACTATGCGGAAGCGAATGGAAGCTATTGATCATTGATCTCGATTCTTAAACCTTTGTCAAAATTTATTTTCTTTTGACGTTTCATTAAATTATTAGAGAAAAAAGACGATTCGTTGTACCGTTTTCGACTCTTAATCCTTTTTCTTCCTACGTCCTCTTCCTTTCTTCTTTCTTTTTTTTCTTTTTTCTTTTTTTTGACCGGCGTATTTTTTTTTTTTTTGGGGGGGGGGGAGGGGCGAGGGGAGGGGCGAGCGCCCCACCGCCCCCTGGCTACGCGCCTGTATGGGAGTACACAAACATAATGTGTCATGATAATGTGGCCCACAACATTTATTTGTTACATGTCATATTTTTAATACGATGCGAGGACATTTGATCTTTTTCAGAGGACACTTTTTGTTCCTTGATACTTTTCCACTACAAAAGAAGGAATGAAAAAGTTTACAAATCATTGTTATCCTTCTTAAAACCCAACCTTGTCTAAAATAATACCATGGAAAGGTAAATATTCTGGAAGTCATCACGATGTAAGTGTGTGTGTGTGTGTGTGTGTGTGTGGGGGGGGGGGGTTACGGCTAACAAACAATGACTTCCACTCTTTAGGGTGTAATATCCCTCTTCCTTCCTTTCTGACTTCCTACTATAAAACCTGTAATTCTTTCCGTTTGACTTTTACAAGAAAATGATGATTTCCAGACGTGACAAATTAACAGCAGGATTCCGCCATAACACTATACATTTAATCATCGGTTTAAGGTGACGACCCAGTTGTCTTTATACACAAAATTATTGGTGTTTTTATTTTCGTCCAAGAAAAGACGAAGACCGAGGGGACTGGGATAGAGGGATTAGAGATAGAGAGAGAGAGAGAGGGGGGGGGGGAAGTATTCCAGAGTAATGGGGGCAAAGAAAGTGAATGGACAGTGGAGTGAGACAATGGCTGAGAGAAAGAGATAGAGAGAGGGAGAGAGATATGGAAAACAGATAGAGAATTAAATAGAGACAGAGAAACAGAGAGAGAAATAGATAGAGAGAGATAAATAGAGACAGAGAGAGATGGAAAGAAACAGATAGAAAGATAAATAGAAACAGAGAAACAGAGATAAACAGATAGAAATACAGATATTATCATTTCTTGATTTTGATTGACGATAGCACTGACTTTCAAAAAACTTACAGTATATGAAAATCTACGAGAGCTTCAATCCTGCCTTCCTCCCACCCTCCCCCCCCCCCCCCCCTCTCTCTCTCACTGTCACTTTCTTTATCATCTTTCTCTCTCTCTCACTCTCATCTATAATATCTTTCTAATCTGTAATATCCCTCTTTCTTCCTCTCGGGCTTTCTACTATAAAACTTGTAATTATTTCCGTTTGACGTATACAAGAAAGTTATGCTTTCCAGACCTGAAAAAATTAACATCAGGATTCCACCATGACACTGTACAATTAATCGACGGTTCATGAAAACGACCCAGTTGTCTTTAAAAAAAATGTAATGGCGTTTTTAATACCGTTTAACAAAAGACGAAGACCGAGGGAACTGGAATAGAGGGATGAGAGGAAGAAAGGGGGGGGGGGGAATTATTCCAGATAAATAGGAACAGAGAACGCAGACGAACAGAGGGGAAGAGAATGATAGACAGGCAGATAAAAACAGAGAGGGAGACAATGGCACAGAGAGAGAGAGAGAGAAGTAGAGAGAGGGAGAAAGATATAGACAGATAGAGATAAATGGAGACAGAGAAACAGAAGGAGAGATAAATAGATAGAGAGAGAGAGAGAGAGAGAAACAGATTAGACAGAAAAACAGAGAGAGATAAACAGATAGAGATACAGATATAATCATTTCTTGATTTTTA